AGAAACCAATTTTTTAAAAAAAATCAAATACATTACCACTTGATGGGTTATCCAAGAATTGAAAAACCTAATAATTTTAATCTTTATGTGCTTCTTAAGAAAATCACAAATGACATTTACTGAATATTCACTATGTATGAGGCATAACTTGTTTAATCCTCAGAACTTTGGGTCACAATCCTCATTTTAGAGATAAGAAACTGACTCTTTGTGCTTCATTTTCACCGGCTATAAAATAATACATTCATAACATCAAACTACTTCACTATTGCTAAGGATCAAATATAAAATAATGCATTCATAATATCTAACTACTTCACTGTTGTTAAGGATCAAATGAAAACTGCCTTCAAAAGTATAAAATCTAACGCAATGATCCCAAAAAGCCAGAATCTGACTTCACATACCTTCCACATACCGCTGACCCATGTACATGCGGTGTTTCTCTAAGGCTTTATGCACATCCTGCTCTGACTCCATTTCAATTAAGGCATCACCCCTTCGTTTCCCATCTCTATTTAAGAGGAAATGTATTCCATTCTCACCATTGCGGATTCTGCAGTCTAAAAGTATATGAGCAAAACCAATTTAAAACAGAAATCAAACTTTAGCTCCATTATACAAGTCACTATAATACAATTTTCCAACAAAGCAGAAACCCAAACACCTGTCATATTCTTTACACAAACCCCCATCACAGAAGCCATTCAAGCATGCTAAGAAAGGCTGTAGTCCCTAAAATGTTCCAAGTAGAAAAGAAAAGCAAACCTTAGTATACAAACTTATGGTCCCTTTCCTGGCTGTTAAATGGCAAATCAGTCTAGGCCCACCACAACATGCATGATATTCATTCCAGTGTCTCTATAATCAGTTTCAAATCACTTAAGAAATTAAAATATGGTTAGGTTTATATATAAATGTCTTCCTTTAAAAACATACCCATAGGACTCTAAAATACCTCCTGTAAGAATAATTTTGCTACCATAATTTAACTTTTCCCCCTTTTCATTATCAAGGAAAGACATCCCCATACTGAAGTGGCTTTATAAAATGCTTTACCCATGCAATGCTATACACATTAAGGTAGTTAACAGATTCAGTTACATCCTTTTACAACATTTTAATGTGGCATCTTCTGAAAACATTTTAAGAGGAAAATTAAAAATCATAGTGAGGTAACAAAACAAACAAAAAAACCCCACAGATTGGTAAACCTTCCAACCACGTTATTAAGACAACCTGATAAACTCTATCACTTCGTCTTGTATTCTAACCCTAATGTACTATATAAAGAGCTACTCTTAGTCTCCTATTTCCACTAACAGGTTTGGTTTTTTAATATGCATATATTAAAACTTCAGAGAAAACTGGTTTCATATCGTGTAGTTTTAACAATAAATACTTCTGTTGCATTCGAAGTCTTTAAATCTGGTATATACCACAAATAGTACACATGGGGTCACTTGGTATGAATATGAAACCAGCCAGAATGAGACAACTCCCACCCATCAAAGAGGATGTCTACTGCATAGCCTGATTCGAGTTTGCGGTAAAAGGACTATTTTTTACTCAGACAAAACTGTGTATTTAAAACATACATAACATATACCTGAGAAAAAGTTAAGCACATCTTCTACAGTGCACGACCAGGGCAATCCTTGAGCTCGAATGAGATAAACATCATCCACTTCCTCTCCTAACTTGGACGGGGCCAATTCGTACTCAGGGAGTGGTGGAAGGTCTTCCAGATAGGTAGTTTTGGAGTCCTTCCAAGAGAGATGAACAAATATAAAAATATTTCTTTGACAACCTACTTAGAAAATGTTTATTACTATAAACACACACTCTAGATGTTAACATTATTTCAAAGGCAAGAAGTAAACATCACAAGTCTAACTCACCCTGTTTTGGCTTCAAGTGTACATCCTAAAGCAGTAAGCAGGTATATACTAATGATTTGGTCAGATAAATTTTATTCAGGGCTTGTTTTTAAATTCATCAGCCCCAAATTATACCTAGTAATAGAGTCTATTTAAGACAGCACAAGAAAGGTCCCTTCAATTTGATAAATATTTGATTGCCCCCTACACACAGTGCACCATATTAGGCCTCCGTATCAAAGCTTACTATTTAGAATAAGACAAGCATACAAGACAAGATGCTTTAAGTGCTATAATTAAGATATAAAATACTATAGGAACTCAAAACAGAGTACTAACAGAAAAATCAGTACGTGATATGA